CTTCAGTATTTGACCGTCTAGTGAATATCCTGAATGAATTTCTTCAGTTATTGACTGATTTGATCTCCTTGCTGTCCAAGGAACTCTCAAAAGTCTTCTCCAGCACCAGAATTTGAAAGCATCTGTTGTTTGGTACTCAACTTTCCTTATAGTCCAACTCTCACAACTAGAAAAACTACTAGAAAAACCATAGCTTTGACTGTATGGACCTTCATCAGAAACATGATGTCTCTGCTTTTCAGTATGTTTTCCAGATTTGTCATAGCTTTCCTTCCACAGAAATGCATTAAAAATGTGTCTCATTCCACATATTGAATCTGTCACCTGTCTGTCAAGAGGTGGGTGAAATTCATTTACTGTGGAAATCATGATTACTCATTGAATTGATCAGAGTACTTAAGACTTACATGGATTAACACAGAGTGAAGTGAGAAAAATCAGAACAATTTGTATTACATGAACATTATTGCAAAAATGGGGCTTCCCCTTAAAGAAGTTGTTATAAATCATCCACTCCCCCTAGTTCACTTCTGAATTTAGCATAGACTCTGAATGAGTCTTTCCCTGCCTACAGTACAATCTCCCAAGGAGGTCAGGCCTCAGGTCTCCTGGGACTTCGCCAGGTTCAGTTATTACCAGACTGATATGACCTCCAGGTCCTGGGCCTCTGGTATCTAGAATTTCTGAACTTCATAGTCAATTTTCAATATTCCTTCATCTAAGAGCAGGAGAAAATAAACACATAAAGATACGGAACAAAGATACAATGTTTTCATGGCCATATATGGCCCTAAGTGGGGAGAACAGGCCTTTAGCACCAGCGCTACCTCCCTTCCCAGCAAGAGGCTTAGAGTATTTTGTGCTTCAACCAACACCAACAAAAAATAATGAGATTGAGTTGTTAAGTCATTGGGTTGATGCAATAAAACTTGACACAGTAGCCATTCGAAAGTCCCCAAGTTGTTAGAAAATCATCATAGCTTACCTATGCATGCTCTGAAATAGAAAGCAAAGTCCTTCCTTTCACCTGCCCAGAAGTAGGCTCATAAAACATCCTTATATTCTCAGGACTGGCTCCTGATTAGCCAATTCTCCACTACATAGGTATGCAAAGTGGGGTATGAAGTATGAACACAAATCCTCATATTTCAGAGCCAGTGCTTTATATCACACTGCTTCCTTGTTCAGGGAAAGGACCTTAGATTTGGAACTTAGTGATCTAGACTTCAGGCCTAGCTCTGACTATATGACCTGCTCCTTTCTTGATCTTACTTTCTCCATATAATAAATTTGATAGTTGTGTGGATGCTTCCAAGTCTGACATTCTAAGTTTTCTGTTTCAAGGATTCTGACTTTCTGTATTCTATGTTCCAGAGTTCCTTACAGCTCAACTTAAAAAAAATCTCAGGGTGACAAAGGACTAGGGAGGCCATCTAATAAAACTTGAGTCTAACTACAACATGTCTGTCAAGTGGTTTACTCAGGGAACTCCCCATTTCCAAAGTCTGTTCACTCCACTTTTAAACAGCTTTGATTTTCAAGTGTCAGCTAGGTGGTACAGTGGATAGAGTGTCTGCCCTGCAGTCAGGAAGACTCATCTTCCTGAGTTCAAATCTGGCCTCAGGCACTTGCTCTCTATGTGACCCTGGGCAAGTCACTTAACTGTGTTTGCCTCAGTTTCCTCATCTGTAAAATGGGCTGGAGAAGAACACAGCAAACCATTCCAGTATCTTTGCTCAGAAAACCCAAAATGGCATCATGAAGAGTCGGACATAGCTGAACAATAAAAAATTTTGTTTTTTTCTGTTGTTGAATTTGGCACTTTACAACTTCTATATCTTCATTTTGCCATCTGAAGCCAATGAGAACAAACTGAATTCAGCTTACATGTTCCAACCATTTACATAATTGGATAGCTATCCTTCCTCCAGTCTTCCTCATGCTAGACATCTTTCACTATTTTAGCAGATGGGTTTTTAACTTGGGGTCCATGGACCATCGAGTGTTCTGTGGCTAGATTTCAGAGGCTTTGTGAACCTAGATAGGAAAAAAATACATCTTTATTTTTGCTAAACTTCAACTAAAATGTAGTCTTTCCTATCACTATTTTAAATATATATTATTTAAAGAAGATGTCCAGAGACTTCACCAGATTGCCAAAGAAATACATGGTGCACACATACACATACACATACAAATTAACAATCCCTGTTTAACAAGTTTTTGTATGGCATAGTCTTGAGACCCTAACAGTGGGAATTTATACAATGCTTTATGGTTACCAATCATTTTCTTTGCAACAGTGCTATGAAGCAGATGATGTTTTCCACATTTTACAGAGGAATAAACTAAAGCACAATGAAGCTATATAACTTGCTTATGGACATATAATTTGTGTGCCAGAACTGGGATTAAAGCCCAGACCTCTCAGATTCCATGTCCCATGTTTTTTCTACTATATCAAAATGCATTCATTAGACAAAATGGAAACCCTGGTTTTATTTCTTAAATTAAAAATGATACATATTTTTTTAAATATCCACAGCCTAAGTCTCCCCTCCCCACATTCCCAATTGGTTTCCAAGTACCCTTAGAGGATTAATAACTTTTAATCCCAAGTCTGCCCATCTCTCACATGCTAGATGCTACATGAAGCCTCCATTTATTATTCCAGCCTCCTTACTCTCTCCTTTCCTTGCACTCCAACAGCAATTTGCATCACACAGTTTAGGACTTAGTCTCTGCCATTAATTTGCTATGTGGTTTTGTCTAATTTATTTAACTCATCTGAGCTCCAGTCTCTTCATCTATAAAATGGGAAGAATACTAGTTAATATTACTTATCTAATGAGGATGTTGTGAGTCTCAAATGAGGTCATAAGTACAAAGTAGTCTGAAACCTCAAAACAGTATATGAATATAAACTTATTGCATTCAGTAACTCAGTTAATAAATCTGTGTCTATTGAATGCTGGGTACTATCCTCAGAAATATTTACATGCTAGTCCATCCTCTATGCTATTGTGACAGTGCTCTTACTTCAAAGACAAATTTGACATTACATATGACCATGTGACCAGAAACTATGGTTTACTCTTGCTTGTAGAATCAAATGGAAATTGTTCTGTTTGGTTTTAAATTCCTTCACAGCCTTGCTCTAACTAATCTTTCCAGACTCATCGTACATTACTGCCCCTCCAATATTCTACATTCCAGTGAGTTTGGCCTTCCCTGTGTCCCTCAAGGACAATATTTCAATTTTCATCTCACTGCCTCTAGATTGACTGTCCCTCATGCCTGGAATATAATCCCCACTCACTTGCCTCATAGAATCCCTGACTTCCTTTAAGACTCAGCTAAATAGATACATGAAAAAAATGCTCTAAATCACTATTGATTAGAAAAATGCAAATTAAAACAACTTCGAAATATCATCTACCTATAAGATTGGTTTAAATGATAGAAAGGGAAACCAACAAACTTTGGCAGGGTTGTGAAAAAATTGGGACACTAATTCACTATTGGTAGAACTGTGAACTGATTGAACTATTTTAGAGAGCAATCTGGAATCATGTTCAAAGAGTTATAAAACTGTATATATCCTTTTAACCAGCAATACAATTATTAGGTATGTTTCTCAAGGTGATTAGGGAAAAAGGAAAAGAATTTATATGTTTAAAAATACTTATAGTGTTCTCTTTGTGATGGCAAAGAACTGGAAATTGAAGGGATGCCTGTCAATTGGGGAATGGCTAAACAAGTTGTGGTATATAATTGTGGTGGAATATTATTGTGCTATAAGAAATAATGAACTGATGAATTTTAGAAAAAATGTGGAAAGACATATGAAATAAGGAAGAGTGAAATAAGCAGAAACAAGAGAACACTGTACACAATAACAGCTCTATGGTCCTAAGAACAGGTTTGAATAACTAAGTCATTTTGAGTATTACAAATACTCAAATCAATTATGAAGGACCTATGGAGTAAGATGCTATCCACCTCCACATAAAGGACTGCTAATTAGAAGTTTCACATACATATATATTTATTCATACATATATTATTCATACATATTTGTGCCTAATACTTGCCTTCTCTAGGGTGGGTTAGGGAAAGAGGAAGAAAAAAACTAAAAAGTGAAAAGCAGAGAACAAAAGAAAATTTGGAAGCACAGAAAAGCAGAGTAGCTTTGAAAATAATGCGTAGTATTTATTACACAGTTTGTTTTGGTTTTTTTAAAGTAAGCAGTGTGAAATAGAAATTCATGGTTTTATATACAATGCTCTTTTTACATTGTGCTGTGTACATGGAAATGTTCTCCCCTTTTTGTCTTTTTGTATTTAAGTTCAAAATGAATATTAAAAAAAAAGGCTCAGCTAATGCCTTTCTTGCAATGACCTCCTCCCCCTACTGTCCTCCTCAAATTACTTTCATGTAGCTACTTTGTATTCATCTCTTTTCATTGATTCTACATGCATGGAGAGATATTTCCTTGTTGCCTCCCTTATTCAAATCTAAGTTACATTTAGTGGGGATTATTTCATTTTTGTGTGTGTATGCTTGGGCCCTTACTTGGTACCTGGCATATAGTGGGTGCTAAATAAATTGTTGGTTAATTGACTGATAGAAATCATATATTAATTAATATTTTGGTTTTTTTTTTTACAATACCGAAGAATCCTGGTTTTCTAGGAGCCAGAAGACTCAGCTAAAACCTTTCCCATCAGTGAGATGGATGAGATAATCTGTCAAGTCACTTCCATCTATAAATCCTACAATTCAATAATAATTAAATACAAAACCCAAAATATGCTGTATTTCCATGATTTCCCTCTCGTCCCCTCAGTAGGGTCTTGTTTGAGATATCTCTCAGACTCATCAACAACAAAACAATAAACCAAGGAAATAAATAAATTGACCCTCAAATATTTGCTAAGTTATTTTTATTGAAGGTGAGTTAGTGAGGGAAAATTGTAGCCACTGATCCACTTGGAGGTTTAGCATTTTCCATCATGTTTGTAGCCAAGCTGCCCATTCTGTTCCCTAGAAGAAAAAGACATATTTCTTAGATACAAAGCCCATCTCCATCACATGTTAATAGAGCTTTCACAGATTACCTTTGAATATCAATAGGCCCGAAGTTCCCTAGTCTTCTTCCCTCTGTTACTATTTCTCCTTGTGAATCCCACCCTACAGACTTCCTTAGTAGGCAGCATGCTCTAGTGGGAAAGGGGACTAGGCTTGGACTCGTAAGACTTGGTTTCCAATCCTGGCCCTGCCACTTACTAGCCACATGTCCTAGGAGCATTCACTCCTCCCTTTTTGAACCTGAGATTCCTCACCTTTAAAATGGGGATAGAAATTTTCATACTCTACTTCTTGAGATAGTGGTAGGGAAAGTATTTTGGACTATACAAAACAATAGGGATATGAGAGTTCTTACTGTGATGACTTCCACCTACATTCTCACAACAGCATTTCTTCTTTAATAATTCAACTGCAAAGTGGAAGTGAAGTGAAAGCTATGACAAAGAAGCTTAGACCCTGTTTAAACCATGTATGACCCAGATGGACTCTATAGAGAGGCCAAGGGAAAGCAGGGACCTAATGTGGATGTGTGGTGCTCCACATTGGAATGGGTTGTTTCCATAAGCAGGGAATCTTTAGTAACTGGAGGAATTTGAGTAGAGACTGGATAACGAGTTATTAAAATATGACAGAGATATTTTTTAATAAAACTAAATTTGTGGAGTTCAAAAGAAACAGGTTTCCCCTACCATTCTTTCCCCCTCCTCCCTTCTGTTCCCCCAGCCCCTGGGATTCAAAAATGGAATATCTTTATACTCACATAGCTACCTTGCAGAATTCACAGAGATTCTTGTAGGTCTGGCCATCTGTGCCACACACTGGTTTTTGAATATTGGGACATTGAGTGTTTTCTCCTGGGGCTGGTGCCTTGAAATTTTTGCACTGAGCCTGCAATAGCAATACAATATTTTCAGTTCTGTACCCAAGAAGATTCTAGGATTTAGAACTAGAGACATTTTAGGAACAATCTGGTCTTTAACCATTCCATTTACAGATGAGTAAACAGATTAACAGAAAAACTGCCCAAAGCCACAGAAGTAGTTAGGAGAACCAGGATTTGAAGCTAGGTATCTAATTAAAAACCCAGTGCTCTTTCCACTACCCCATTGCTGGCTCCCCACAACAGATGCCAACAGATGGAGACCTGGTTTACCCTCTGCTTGCCTAACTCCAGAATTCCATTTACCCTCAAACCACCATAAGGGACAGTTCATTATGCAGACTCAATAAATTTGCAGTGTGATTAGTTACAATTAGCATTTAGAAAATGTTGTAGATCTTAGATTTCAGGGGGAAAGTTTCATAGAATCATCAACTCTCAGGGCTGGAAGAGACTCTGGAAGCCATCTAGTTTAACCAGTGCTGAGTAAGAGTACCCTCAATGAGAGCTCTGTTACGTGCTCATTAGCTTCTGATCCAAGGAGAGAGAACTCATTACTCCTTGAGGCATCCCATCCCACTTTTGGAAGATTCTTATTGTTAAAAATCTGCCTCTCTGAAACTTCCCTTCCTTTCTCCCCTTACACAATTACTGCTGCTCTTAGCTCTGCCCTCTGGGATCAAACAGAAAAAAAATCCAACCGCCTTTCCTTATAAGAGTACTAAAAATAGCTAAAGACAACAATTAGGCCCTTACTCTGCCTCCCCTAAGTCTTCAATTCTTCAGGCTAAACACAGACAAGTCCTTTCAAATGATCCTCAAATGATAGTTTCTGGACTCCTCACCATTCCTGGTTTTCCAACTCTAGCTATGTTCCAGCTCTGTGTTCCTCCTAAAATGTGACAGATTAGAACCACATGTAGAATTGTAGATTTCATCTGGCCCACAGAGATAGTAGAAGGAAAAAAATGCAATAACTGAAGCATCAAGATCAAAGGAGAAGGGAGAGGACAATGGACCAGTGGAGCTGGTCCAGGACGGGGCCTTAGGAGATGATCTAAGCTAAAACTCTCATTCTACGGAAGAAGCAAACTGAGGTCCAGAGAAATGAAATATCTGGCTCTAGATCATACAAGCAATAAATAGCAGAGCACTGAAGTGAGTTCAGGTCTTCTGAGTTTTAGACCATATCTCTTTTCAAAACACAGTTCACAGCCCAGGTGAAAGGGTGACAGTTAGAAAGGAAAAAGAGAGAGTCAGGAAGGTTGCAAGGAAGTGACTGAGTTCTGTGTGTGTATATCTGTGAGTCTGAGGGAAAAGGAGATTTGAAATAGCTATTGCACTGCTAGCCAAATAGAGATCCTTCAGCATGAATTTGTCTTTTCACAGCAATGTTTTGTATCTAAGAGCAATAGACAAAAGGGGAGGATATTATAATTCAGTCCTGAGGAGAGCGGATAGGACTGGACTAGTGTGGGGGTGGGGGCTTGGTCATGGACTTCCTGTATGTTAAAGCTATCAGTGGCAAGGGGAGTTAGACTTATTCAACTAGGCCCAGAGGGCAGAACTAGGTGCCATGGGTGGATACTATGGGGAGGCAAAATTAAGTTTATCTGGAGGACAATTCCATTCAACAATAGATGAAACACTTTTCTTTCAAATCAAGATTTTCTCACATTGGCATAGATTGTAGTCTCGCTTTTAAAAGACTAAATGCTATCCACATCCAGAGAAAGAAATGATGGAGTCTGATTGCAGCATACTACTTTCCACTTTACTTTTGCTTGTTTTTTTTTCCTTTTAGTCTGTGACTAATACAGAAATTTGTTTTGCATGATTATACATGTATAACCTATATCAAATTGATTACATCTAAGAAAAGAAGGGAGAGAATTTGGAACTCAAAAAAGATTTTTAAATGAATGCTAAAAATTGTCTTCACATGTAATTGGGGAAATATTATTTTAAAATTTTAAAACACTAAATAATACAGTATAAGGTTTCAGTAGAGTTCCATGAAAGAATAATTTCCAGAAAAGAAGGTGCAGAGTCTCTGTGGCAAGAACAGTATTTTTTGTTGTTATTCTTGTACCTACAGTAGCAGTGGAAGAGTTTGTGCACTGATGTGTTGTGGTGTATGGAAAAGCAGGATGAAGTCTTACAAACAGACCATCAAAACTAGGACAGACTTTTAGAACCTGGACTATCACATGTTAGTTTGAAGGGTACCTTAGATCACTGAATGTTAAAGCTAGGAAGGACTTAGAACTTAAATCAGAGAATGTTCAAGTTGGGAGAGATCTTAAAACCCCAAAATACAGAATTTTAAAGCTGGAAGAGACCTTAGTATATAAAACAGAATAGTCCAGTCAGTATGCTCTTTTCCCAGTGTAACTGGCTGAAATGTCACCTCTTCTAGTAAGCCTTCCCTGGTATTCTCCAGTCAGAAGGGACCAATTCCTCACAATATCTTGTTCTTCTAAATTCACTTTCATATTCTCCCTCGTTGGTAGGTCCATGTGTCCCTGTCTTATTCTCATGCAAGACTATAATTTCCATCAGATAGGCACCTGGCCTCATGCTCCTTCTGTGTCACTCCCAGCCATCAATGAGTTCATACAAATAGGCTTGGGTCATGTGAATGACAACCCAATTGCAGGATCAGTGGATGATTGGTCATTCATCTTCTGCCTCGACAGGAATGGAGCCTCTAATAGAGAGTAGCACGTACCTGATAGCCGCCTTGACTTACAGCATCTGAAATTAAGGAGACATCAGATATTCACGAGACACTCACTATGGTTTGGAAGAATCGCAGAATGCAGACTGTCTGAGCCAGAAGGGTTTCTATAGACCAATACAATCTACTTGTTTTAGAGGTGGTCAAAGTGAAATCCAGAGAGTTCTGATTTGGGCGTGATTAATTTCACTTGAATAAAGCAGTGACTGGACCCTACACCTGCTCTTTTCTTACCTGTTGGTCCGTTATTTCGTTTGTGTTCTAATCTTTGTGAGCTTTGGGGTTTTCTTGGTAAAGATATTGGTTTGCCATTTCCTTCTACAGCTCGCAAGATTAAGCAACTTGCCCAGAGTCACACAGCTAGTGAGTGTCTGAGACCATATTTAAATTTAGGAAGGTGAGTCTCCTTGACTCCAGGCCCAGCAATCTATCCGCTGTACCACCTAGCTGCCTCATTACCACTCAAGAAAATAAACCCTTAGAGCAAATGACAGCAAAATCGCCATGGAGTAAAGAACAATTTTTGCAATAGAGATTTATGGAAATTATTCCAATAGTTGGCTCTTGGAAGAGTCAGTAAAATCCATAAATAAAGCCACTGTTGATAAGTAATACATCATTTACACATGGCTATAAAGTGCCATATGTCCTTAACCCTCCCAAAATCCCTGCTTTGGTAAGTAATACAAGTATTATTTTCCTCAGTTCATAGATAATGAAAACTGAGGCCCTGAAAGGAGAAGTGACTTGTTCAAAGTCATACGGCAAGTTTATGGCATAACAAGACTAGAAGAGACCTAAAGTTGAAGGGATTATCTAGCCCGAACCTCTTATTTTACAAATGAAGAAACTGGGACCAGGGGAGACCATGTGATTTGGGCAAGTGATAGTAAATGGCAGAGGTGGGCTTTGAACCCAGGTTCTCTGACTCAAGAATATAGTGTTTTCACATTATACATGATGCCTCCCTGCCTCTTTGGACTCCCAGTGAAGTGCTTTCTCCATTACACAGTGTCTTCATTAGTGCTGTGTTTAAAAAAATACTCTTCCAGATATTCTAAGCCTTTGTAAAGGAAGGTTTTTTGTACAAAACCATGTATCTGTCTTTATTTTTCTTATGTAGCTAAGTGGCAATAATGGATATATAGTTGTGTCATGTGGTCATGGGAGCAATAAACCTATAGGCATTCTTGTAGTATGGTCTCATAGAGCAAAAGAGTCATGAGATTGGTGTGATGGACAAAGCCCCTCATATCACAGAGCTAAAAGGACTCTCATGTACTATCTAATATATCCTTGACCCAAAGCATTATTCTCATCCCTCATTACCAGCCATGCCCTTTTGGAAGTCTCTTTATATGATGACAAGAGACTCCCACTTGCTGGATAAATAGACCATATTTTCCCAGAAGAAAGCTTACTTTCTGAGGCAGTATGCAAAGCCCTCTATACATTTACTCAGTAGACTCATTAGGACAGCTAGGTGGCACAGAGGATAGAGTGCTGGGCCTAGAGTCTAGAAGACCTGAGTTCAAATCTATCCTCAGACAATTACTAGCTGTGTGACTTAAACAAGTCACTTAATCCTCTTTGCCTCAGTTTCCTCACCTGAAAAATGAGCTGAAGAAGGAAATGGCAAACCACTCCAGTATCTTTGCCAAGAAAACACCAAATGGGGTCACAAAGAGTTAGGCATGAAAGAAAGGACAGAACAACAAAAACTTCCTGACTCCAGGCACAGCACTCTGTCTATTTTACCACCCTTATCTGCTCCATGCTTGGTCGGTCCATAAAGTACATAAGCCCATTGCTAGTAGACTTCAGAAAAAACAACAACCAAAAAAAAAAGATCTTACACTCACCCACAATTAAGAAGGTGCAGGTCAAGCAGAGCAGAAACATTGAGCTGCGTGAAGAAGTCATGGCAATGTGGGGTGACTGGTCTGTTGAGAATTCAGTGGTGTACTGCCAGACTGAGGCCCCCAAGTGGCATTTATAAGGGGATCCATGGATACCCAGCCAAATGCTCATCCACAGGGCAGGCAGCCAGATCCTCCACCCTAGTGATGAAATCTGCTTTTGCAGTCCTCGCAAAGAGCGGCACCAGGAACTAAAAGATGCTTGCTCCAGGGATGTTCTGTGCAGGCAGGTACACTCATTACACTGATACCTCCATTCAAATACATCTCCAAACATCAGTTTCCATATCACACACCCTGAGCTGAGTGTCTAACTGTGCTTAATGAAGGGCACACCCAATCCATTTTCCTGAACTGTGCACTTTTGGTTAATTTGATCCAGGGAGTTCAGGAAACTCTCTTATTGTGGGGCCATCCAGCTCTGTCTTTGGCCACAATCTGTTAAGAGAACACAAACATTTTCAAACTTCCCTTTCCCTTCTGAGGCAAATGATTCCCCCTCAACTCCTAATTCCTTTTAACCATCATTTAGAGACTAGGCCTCCCTCCCCATAGTTAGATCTCCTCTTTATTCCCAACCCAGTCTTACCCCATCTAGCTAGGTGGCAGAGTGGATACAAGACTTGGCCTGGAGTCAGGAAGACATGAACTCAACTCTGACCACAGACTAGCTGTGTGATCTTGGGCAAATTACTATGTCTGTCTCAGTTGTCTCAACTGTAAAATGGGGATAAATAACAGCATCTACCTCTCAGGATCATTGTGAGGATCGGATGAGGTAATATTTGTAAAGCATGTAGCACAGTGCCTGACAATTTCCTTTCTTTCCTTTTCTCCTCAACCCTCCTCCTTCCAACTGGGGTATGATAATCCCCTTGACCTTATTGGAATCTGACTCCCCAGAGTTTTAATTTGCCTGCTTCCTTTATTCCTTCAGCATCTGATCCCTTCCCTTGTAGGGTGGCATCCTCAGTCAGTGTATGATTCCTCCCAGCAAGAGTCACTGAAAAGATTCCTTTCTCTTTTCTCTTCATTAGTTCTCTTCCCTTCCTATCTATTCTAAACTTTTATTCTTTGATTTATGGTGCTTATACTTATAGATTCTTTCTGTTTTAGTTTCTACTTTCCTTATGGAATTAAAGTTTCTAAGAAGAGTTCCCTCTTCTAAATAATTTCTATTTTATTGTCCTGTAGATGTTGGCCCTTCTCCTTTTGTCTGTTGTGCCTCACTCTTAGAGGTATCAATTCTTATAGGAGATAGAGAGGCCAGAAGTATTGCCTTGTGATAGAAATTTTCCCAAGTCTCTCATTTCCCATTTGTCATGGGATCTTTTTTTAAGTGGGTCCATGTTCTTCTGCCCTTCTGGATGCTAGTTATCCCTGGGAACTCTAATTATCTATCTCCTAATGCAGAATGCTGTTCATGAAAATACAGCACTTTTCCAAAGGTGTTATTCTCTTCCTTAGAACCAAATCCTTGCAGATCACAATCACTGTAAAATCCCTATCTCCCATCATAGAATGCATTTCTCCCCCAATACAGGGTTCTTCGGTAGAATCCATTCCACCACTGTATTAAGACAGTCTTTCTTTCTTTCTTTCTTTCTTTCTTTCTTTCTTTCTTTCTTTCTTTCTTTCTTTCTTTCTTTCTTTCTTTCTTTCTTTCTGTTTTAATTCCTCTCTTTACCACCTGGGACATTCTCTCCTGTAGCTTCTTGTCTTCCCAAGGATTACAGGAGTTCTCCTTTCATTATTTAATATTGATTGATTAGGGTATATCACACAAGTCCCCTCAATGTAGTAGCTTCCCTCTCATCTTTCATGCTTCCTTTCATTCTGCAATTTAATCTCATAAAAAAAATCAAAATAAAACACATTAATTCCCTTGTAGAGGGTGGGTAGAGTGGTTTAATCTATAATGTTTCAGGCCTGTTCTTCCACCATCATTTCTATTTAATTTCTATTTTCACATTTATTTTTACGTATTTTTAGAAATAAATTTCTTAATGGTTGCTCTGTTGTGTTGTTGTTTTTGTTTGTCGTTGTTGTTTTTTTAATCCCATAGAGGCAGCTAGGTGGCACATTACATGGAATGCTGGATCTGGACTCAGTAAGACCTGAGTTCAAATCCAGCTTTATTTACTAATTATATGACTATGGGCAAATCTCTTAAATCTTTGTGCCTTAGTTTCCTCACCTATAAAGTAGGGATAATAGAACTTACCTCTCAGTGTTATTATGAAGATAAAATGAGAAAATATTTGCAAAGTGCTTTATATATATATATATGTATATATATATATATGTGGTGCTACATATGTATATATAAATATACATATAAAGTATATATACATATATACATATAAAGCATATAAAGTGCTATATAAATGCTAGTTATTGTTATTTCTCCTTCCAGTTCTCTCCTTTTTTCTGAAGTAATTTATTTTATTTGTGTTTTCCTTGTTTGCTGCATTTACTTTTCTTGTGTATCTACTGTCTGAGAAGTTTGCAAATGTCTTCTCGTGTCTTTTTTTTTCAAAAGCTTCAGATGCCTCTTTTTTTATTACACGTACATATCCTTCACTAATGATTAAGTTCAACCTCCAGGATATGTCACCTCGGGCTGCATCTTGACCTTTTTGCTTTTGTTGTTGTTGTTCAGTCATGTCTGACTCTTCATGACCTCATGGACCTTAGCATGCCAACTCCTTCTATCTTCACTATCTCTCGAAGTCTGTATTAACCTTTGCAGCATCAAACTTTCCTTTCGCCACCAGACACATCCACAGCTGAGCTTCCTTTTGGCTTTGGCCCAACTGCTTCGTTAGTCCTGGAGGTACTTATAATTGTCCTCTACTCTTCCTCACTAGTGTATTGGATACCTTCCGACCTGAGGGGCTCATCTTCTGCTATCACCTCTTTTATCATTTTAGTACTGTCCATGGGGTTTTCTTCACAAAGATACTGGAGTAGTTTGCCATTTCCTTCTCTAGTGGATCACCAGAATTTTGTCAAGCTCTCCACTAACGCTGCATGGCATAGCTCATAGTTTGATTGAGCTACATGAGCCATTCTGCCAAAATAAGGCAGTGTTCCAGGGAAAGAAGAAATAACAATATTTCCTCTTTTTTATAATGTATTTTTGATTTGGGGAATCTATTATTCCTTTCCTTTCAGTAGCTTCTGAGGGCTAGATAATAGTATGGTGTTATTGAATTTCCTTTCCTTAGTATTTTAAAGTATTTCTCCTCCTGGTTGCTTGTGAAACCTATTGCCCATCAATGAAATTGTTCAATTTAACCACCACATACGTGTCTTGGAGTTTGCAGTACAGTGTTCCTCCCAACCCCTAGAGTATGTTTATGGACTATTTTAATTGGTACTTTGTTTTATGTATTCAGAAGTTCTGGTCAGTCTTTTTGTATAATCTTTCACAATATGTTGTTTCAGTGTTTTGTCTTGGCATGATGTACTGGGAGACTTATGATACTTAAGTCGATCAATGTTTTGCTTTTATACAGTTCTTGTGCACTTTTAGCATTATTGATTTTTGCATATCTTCTTCAAATTTGTCCTTCACTTCTGCATATTTTCATTCCCTGTCAGTTGCTCTCTCTTTTGCTTCTTTGGAGAGATTTGCCACCATAGATTCAAGATTTCTGTTGTTACTGTTTAAATAGTATCAATGATTTCTGCCATATAGGCCATCAATTTTGCTTTCACAATTCTTATTTCTCTCTGGAATAATTCAGGAACTGCTGTGATTCCATGCCATCTTGATAAATCACGGAACCTTCTCCCTCATCATTGTTGGTCCAATTTCCTTTATCTTGAAATATTTATTTGGATATGTTAGTATTTATTTAGATGTCTTAGTGACCATTCTCCCTTCTGCCTGGGGTATTAGATCTCTCATATTGGAGATTTCATGGCTGCTCCAGTTCTTTCTGTTCTTTGATTTTCTGTCTGAGCACTGTTGCAGGCATTGCTCCTTCAGAAGAGTGAGGTTCCATTTTCCTATAGTTCTCCTGTTAATTTTTCAGGCTGTTACCTTGTTTGACTTAACATCTTGGCTTATGGAGAGAGCTACAATTACTTATTATGTACATGTAATTTTCTCATAAATATGAGAAATTTTCCAAGTTCATGAAGAAAATGTCTGGCTCACCATCATGTTGGTTACAGGATCAGAAGTTGCTGGCAAGATTTATTCAACTTCCCTCTGTGGTGTCTTTTTTGTTAAAATTTCATTCATTTTTATTCTAAATTTAACAAACAAATACAATGAGAATTTCCATATATACAACAGAGCAAAAAAAAAAAACCCTATTATGTATGAAACCATGGCTGTCAATAATGTACAACTCACTTTTCCTTTTAAGTTCATAACAAATTCTGGTTATAACTGTCAAAAGCTGTTCTGCTAGTCTATGTTTTCTTCTGGCCTTCCTCTTGTTCTCTTCTGGGATTAAAATGTTTCACTTGTTCTCTTTTTTTTCTTTTTCTTGTGATAACCTTATCACTAACTTCCCTCTCCACACACACAAATTGAAACAAATGAACAAAAAACAAACTTTTGTGCCAAATATGCATAGTTCAACCAAAAGAAATTCCCATAGTATGCACATCTGAAATTATATATCTCATTCTGAACCTTGAGTTCATTACCTCCCTGTCAAAAGGCTGGCGTCATGTTTCATTATTAGTTGTCTGGAATCACGGTTATTCGTCATATTGAACCCATTCTTAAGTCTTTCAAAATTGCTTTTCTTTTCAATGTTGTTCTTATTATATAAATTTCTATCTGGGTTCTGATCAATTCACTACGTATCAGTTTACAAATGTTTTCCCTTTCATCATTTTTACAGGATGATAATATTTTATTACACACATAGCCATAATTTGTTCAATCAATCCCCAATTGGCAACCCACTCATGTCCAGTTCTTAATATCCTAACATATACTCTTGGAGCTATTTTGTTTTCAAAATCCAGAGGCAAGTT